AAAAAAAAAAAAAAAAAAAGAAGAAAAACAAATTCAGAAAGTCAGATTTTGTAATTTTTTTCAGTTTGTGACCGTCCCAAAAGCAATCAGAAACGAAAACGAAGTTTCACAATTTGTTCCAATAAAATAGAAAACCCATTTTCCTTTTTGAATCTACCTAACTGAATCTTTCCTTTCCTTATTAATTATTGAATAGCTCAGTCTTTTCTGTTGATGCTACACTCTCAGACAATCACCTTATCTAACAACCAACTAATTTGATCAAATTATCGGCTCCTTTTAAAAATTTGTATAACTACATACTACGTTTCATGCTCGACACGTGATGAATCGGTTGCTCAACCTGCCAGTGACGTGAAGGCAATCAGATAATTTGCTAGCTCGGTGCAGCACAAAGTCTCCCTAATCTAGAGAAGAACAAGCTTCATCAGAAGCTGAAGAAAAAAAATTTTTTTTTCTTTTTGAAAACGACAGAAATCCTCTGATAAGCTAAGGGAAAAAAAACTAAGTTGATCAACAATTATGACCAATAATATTGATTATGGGAAAAATTTGCCCAATTTTCAAACTGTATTTGTACACTTTTTAAAACGTGAAAATAGAACCTTAAAAGAGCTCATCAATATACACCGCTGACGACTGCTGCTGTTATTTATTGTTTCACTGATTAACTTTGAACAGCCGTGAAAATGACGTGAAAGTGAAAACAAAAGGTGAGGAAGAAAAAGTACAGAAAAAGAAGAAACAAAAGAAGAAGAAGAAGAAGATGATGATGATGATGATAAGAATGAAGAAGAAGAAAAAAAAAGTGATTCCTTTTAAACCAAAAAATTAGCTTTTAAATGCTTCTTTTTGTTCCCTTTTTTCATATTTTTGTCCAATATAACTGAAAATAGTTAGATACTTTAACGATTGCCGATGATTTACTGAAGATGTTGCTATCCAAAGCAAAATCTCTACTGTCATCTGAATTGAACTACAATAGCAGCAAAAATTTTTTTTTCGATTATCAGATGAAAAAAATTTCCTTTTCTTTTTTTTTGTTTCGTTTTGATTTGAAGCAAAAAACCGCAAAGAATGTGTCTCCATCCATTGCTCAATTATCGTATATATATATATATATATATATATATATATATATATACGTTTATTTATTTGTTTATCTATAATTATATTCGTACCTATATTATGTTCATGTTTATATTCATACTTAATTTATATTTGTGTATATATTTATAATTTATATTTGTGTGGGTGTGTATGTGTATAATATACATAAGTCTGCAACAAACGTATTTCTCAAAAATATTGAAAATTTTTCAAAATAAAAATTTTTTTCTTTCCGCCAACCACCTTTTTTCAAAAGCCATTGTAAAGCTATTCATAATGACGAAATACTGAAAAAAAAAAAAAAATTCTTGCAAATTCAGCTGACTCGACAGAGTTCAATGAGCAAAAAACAAACGAGTAAGAGGAAGAGGAAACAGAAGGAAAAGTAACGAGAATAGTGTTAGCAAATCTTTATCTGAGCTAATAAAATTACCTGAACCATTACAGGGAATGGATAGAGGGAACTGGTTGAATACAGATTGCGGTGATCAAACGTTGGAATGGCCACTTTGACGGATTTATTAGCTACTTGTTCAACAAACAACAGGAAGAAATCTGAAATTTTTTTTTTTGCTATTAATTATTACAAAGTTGTGCAGAAAATTTTATTTTTTTTCTTCGTTTGTTCCACTAATACAGTTACGTGTTTATCGATGACGAACGTTCACAGAAGTATAACCAAAAAAAAAGTCAACAACCGATACATGAACAAAACATTGTTTTCCATCATTACCATT